GCCAGCTGTCAACCAACACCCCCAGGTCCGTCTCTGCTCGGCAGCTTTCCAGCCACTGACCCCCAAGCCTGTGGCGTTGCAGGGGGTTGTTGTGACTAAAGTGCAGGACCCGGCACTTGGCTTTATTGAACCTCATACAGTTGGCCTCAGCCCATCAGTCCAGCCTGTCCAGATCCCTCTGCAAAGCCTCCCTACCCTCAAGGAGGTCAACACACCCGCTCAATTTGGTGTCATCAGCAAACTTACTGAGGGAGCACTCAATCCCCTCATCCAGGTCATCAATAAAGATGTTAAGCAGTTCAGTCACCTTTTCCTATGAAATTGATATTCCAACATTTTTCAGCTTCATGGAACCCAAACATTTACTTTTGTTCAAGAATATTCTTCATAACTCAACTGAAGGAACATATCTTTTGGTATCAGAAAGCAAAAAAAAAAAAAAGTCACCTACATTGAAGTAAGTTTCCTTACAATGCTAAGGAATGGTATAAGCTTTTAACAGAGAGAAGAGTCTTTAGATACTACAATTTACTTTAAATACTACAGTTTAACCTTTTCTGTTTTGAAGATTAAAATACAAGGTGTCAGATACATTACTACTGTATGTTTAGCTTTTTTTTTTTTTTTTGGCAGGCTACATTTATATGAAGAGACAAGAAATAAAAAGAACCAGACTGTAGTTTGATTTTTCCAAAAGGTTCCTTCTATATGTCTTGGGACAAACAACTTGTCTCCGAGATAAGATTTTTATAACCACGGAATTAAATCAACTTTCAAATTATTATTTTCAACTTATGACATGCTCTGTGATACCCATGAGCTATTCTAGTAAAGTATCACATGATCCCAACTGGCGATGGTTAATTAGAGCTTCAATACTACCAAACTTTACTCATGTATCTCAGTTTTACGGCTTCTTTTACAGCATCTATAACAGCAGCAGACCTCATACATATCGTATGTGTAAGAAAATGAGCTGTGTTCCAGACTCTCTCTCTTCCCACATTTAACTAAACTTCCAAGTTGAGGTCTGTGTGCATAGTTTGTCTCTTCTTTCTCCATAATCAAAAGGCCAAAGATAAAGAGCTTTTCAATATTGTTGATGTGATGTACTTCAATTCTGTCTGTTATGGAACTGCACAAACACTCCCAAAATGCAGTTTCCAAGTATAATCACAAACAACTTCCAATCCATCTTCAAAAGCCTTGGAGCTCACAGATTAATTGGAAGACTGAGACACACAAATTTATTTTTTTTCCAATTCAGATAGTTCTCACCAGCTTGAAGTATCTGGAAACCAAGGCCCCTTTAACCTTTACCACAGATAAAGAAGATGAGTAGATTTCCAACAAGGAACAAGAGGCTTTATTCATAACACACTAAATAGAGTTAACACCACTGAAACAAAACTTGGAATAAACATGAAAATGGACCTTGAAAACACACTCATTTTATATAAAACAGATCTTTAGATATTTGCAGTAGCTTCTACAATTAAAACATGACAGGCAACAGCTTTGCCATACCTGAGTATGAAGATTTAAAAGGCATATCTTGCCAGAGTTGATTACTTGCCGCACAGAGTCTATGCTAGTACCATAGAGGTTCTTTTCAAACTCTCCGTATTCAATGAACTTCCCTGCAGCTATGTCACTCTCAAATGCCTGTCGGGAAATGAAATGGTAATCCCTGCCAGCTACTTCAGTCTCTCGCCTGCTCCGAGTAGTATCTACAAACAAGAGCAACAAAAAAGAAATTGAGACAGCGATACACCTGTAGAACTGAAGAGGAGAAATAAGTATTTTTCTTAGGAGACACATTGCTAACCAAACAAACAAAGGCATTTGAAATATCCAAGAAATGCAAGCATTTTATTTTCTACAATAAGTACCCCTGGATAGTTTAAGTTGCCACAGGCTGAACATGCATTTAGAGGTCTTGTTTACATTAGAGGGAAAAAATAGGCAACAAGAAAAGGGAAAAAATAGGCAACAAGAAAAGGAATAGTTTCACCTGTGCAGCTGCATTCTGGATGTGAAAACAGTTATTGGTTGTTTGTAACAAATTATATTGTTAAGCTGTTTGTAAACCTAATTTGGTGTACATCAGACATTAAAAATATAAAATTCACTGAAATATAAGTGGCTTGGGAAAGCACTAAAGCCACCTAAATTTAAGTTCACGCAGGATATGTAGGTTAAAAATTCTTTGACCAATGTACAAATTTCTTTTTCAAACTTCTGTAACTACAGTTTTATTCAAACTGAAATATATGCATGTCTTATAATGCTTCTGTAACGTTGTGCTGCAACACTGGATTTGCATTGACTTATGAAAGCTACTTTTTACCACACAAGATGTGACTTTATTTGTCCTTTATCCAAGAGC